AAAGAAAAAAAGACAATGATTCATTTTTGAAATAATGAAGAATAAACCATTCATAAAAGTAATAGAATTATATTTTTTTTCAATTGTTCGACTCAATACATTTACAATCAAACGACATACTACTTATCGATGTGGGAAGAGAAAGGTTCCAGAACATCAAAAATTATAAAATGTTAATGATAGAAGCAATCTCGATATTCATAAACAGCTGCTAATTTCTTTTTTTTAAAGAGACAATAATCGATATTTTTATTGAAAATGATCTCACTGATTTATTAGTTACAATTGAATAATGTTGAGTCAAATAATGTCATACTTTGATAGGTCGAAATGTAATGTGATCGACACAATTGTTTTAAACTGAATCTTATAAAAACAAATGCTTTTCTCTAATGACAACGATGAAGTACCTATTTCGATAGTTGTCAGATATCATTCTGATTTAAATCGAGTAATATACGAATTTATTGATGGTGGCTATTACAAGTTATTTCGCTGAACAAAATACAATATGAATACCGTGAACTTTCGATACTTTCGTCAATAGACACATATAAGTATCAACTGGAAAATTTGTTTAAAATCCCAACTATGCATAAAGCTTAGAACGGTAATCACAAAAGTCATTGTATAAAACACAATTTATTAGACTCGCGACACTGCGTGCTTACTTTTATCATAACTTATGATTATGATCGATAAGTCAAATATTATTTTCATAGAGTAAAATGATTTCACCGTTTCGATTGAAAATGTAACTGGAGAAAAGGACTATATTTAATGCGATGATCTCAAGAACGGGTGTGGGTGTGGGTATGGTTTTGAGTCTGGCCCACACCCACACCAAGACAATTGGTCGTTTGTGTCAGAAACATGGCTATTTGAGCCATAAAAACTGCCATTTATACCATAAAAATGGTCATTTGTCCCATTGTTACAGACAGACACAGGTGAATTACGATTTTTAGACCCTATTCTTTCGGTCTAGGGAATATATCCAATCAATATTAAAGAATCGATTACATACAAATATCGAACAAAAACATGCAAATCATGTTGTCGTATTTCTATTCAACTTTTTTGAAATATTTGTTTGAATTTAAACAACAGATTAAATGAGACATTTTGCTGACTTGAAAAAAATTCTGCATATATGAAGAAGTCCTACACAAATCTACATAGAAAACAAATAGTTATGACAACTTCAATCCAGATCGGGCTCAAATTTAGCTCATCGATCTGATTACCATGATTAGTAGTAGATGTACAACAATATATTCACTAAAAATAGATTATTGAAGCTTTCCGAGTAGATTGTTCAGTAGTGTGTTCACTGTAAACTATTCGATATCTTTAATTCAATCGATTTTTATTAACACAAGTATGGATGTTCACAGTTCACTTATTGTAAACAGCAATAGAAAGAATGGCACGTGTTTAGAGTAAAATTTGAATGCGTGCTCATATCACACTCGACATCAATAACGCTAGGAGTCACCAAAATAGAAATAAGAAAAACAAAACAAAAAAAAGTCACTCATTCAATCATACGATGAATGTTCAATACATAAAGAAAGAAAAAAAGGAAAATCATACATTTCAATTGTAGCGTGAAATAGGGAAAAGAACGAAATATTTTAATTTCTATTATTCATTCTCGTGTTTTTCTTTTTGAAGTTTTTCGATCTGATTCATCGTTTAACGATCTGTATTTTAATAAGAAAATACATGAATAAATAATTGAATCAAAGAGTTTAAACCCACTTTTTCGAACTAGATTCTTTTTCTTCGTCATCTGATGAAGAATCTGACGATGATTTTTGATCAGATGCTGAAGAAACTGCATTGGAACTGGACTGAGATCTAAAATAATATCAATAATTTACATGATGAAATAAAGTTTTTTTTGTTTTTTCGAAAACTTATTGTCAGTTAGGAAAATCAATTTTACGACTCATTATAGCTGATATTATATAATTTGAAAAAATGATTACCTCTTCCTAGAACAATGTGTCGATGATTTTGGTGGTGGTGTTCGTGGTCCTCGCTGACGTTTTTGTTCAGATAATGATGGAGACGTTGTTTGTCGTTTATGTTTTCGTTCACGACTAGATCGATCTCGATGCGATGATGAAACTCTAAGTATAAAAATAAAATACAGCGACGTTTTCGATTTTATATTTTAAAATAAATCTTTATTTCACATAAATAATATATAGAACAGATCGGTAAAAACCAACCTTTATTCAAATTCCATTATATTCTTCAAAACTGCCTTCTTTGAAAGAGAAAAGAAATTTAGAATATGAGATGAGCAGTTGTCAATATAGTTGAATCGATAAATAATTATGATGAGAAGAAAAGGAAAACTGGATGTATAGCAACGAACAGTTCGATGAAGTGTTGATCTAGTATTTTTTTCCTATTCGTACCTGTGACGACTACGACTTCGTCGATGACGTGTTACTGCAGGTGTATTTGATGTGTAACGATTAATACCAGATGATGAATACATATTTCGATAGGACCGAGATGATGATGACGACGAGGATGGTCGTGGCGTTGTAGGAAGGTAAGTAGGTGGAGGTTGTAGTCGTTGCATTAAATATGGATCAGCATACGCTCGATAATAAGCTGGATCACTGTACATAGCTTGATGGTGATAATAGAAATCTTGTGATTGTAATTGGTGCATCGATGATAAACGAGAATTTTGTTTCAATGATGGCGGTGTTAAAGATCGACCACGAGATGCCATCGAAGAATTAGTTAGTGGCATTGAATATGGATAATGTTGATAATAACTTTGACGAAATACTTGCATCGGTGGCAAACGATTTGCTGTTACCTATAGGAATATAGTCGAAAGAAAAAGCTTTAATAGAAAAGAGGTATTGGCTTTTATTATTATTGATGAAACCTGTAAATGACTGTATAAAGTCGACGTGGGCGAATGATCACGAGACGATGGACGTCGACTATCACGTGATGGTTTATCTGATTTAGCATATTCAACACGAAGTTTCGAACCGTTTACAGTTCTATTATGTATATGTTCTAACGCACGTTGTGCATCACTTGATGATGTAAATTCAACAAACGCAAAATGTTTATTTTCATCAATGTATATCGTTGATATTTCACCATATTTACTAAATAAACGATTTAAATCTGATTTACGATTATCACCTATATCACCAACAAATAATTTCAATGGACCATGCGACGAACGCATCGACGTTTTGATTTCAATTTTTTAAATATATATACACACAAAAATAACAACAATACTGTGTATATGGTTAACAACGAACGCGAGAAATCCATTGGCGATAGTAGCGCTCAATGAATACACGACAATATATATATATATATATATGTGAAGGAGGTCGATACCTGTCTGAAATATAGTCGAATCAAAATGGCGACATGAAAATACCATATAGAATGGATTGTATTTATCATTTCGAACATATATTTCATACTATTCATCTGGTATTGAAGGTTTTCTAGTTTTTTAGATTTTCTTGTTGACATTATGGCACCACCAAAGAAAGTCGCCGGAGTATGTTTAAATCTTATTTTACTTTGAGCTCTATTAATCTTTTGTATCGCATTTTGTTTTCGTGTATAGAAAAAACAAGCTGAGACAATTAATCAACGTCTTCAACTTGTTATGAAATCCGGAAAATATGTTCTTGGCTATCGTCAAACATTGAAGGCATTACGAAATGGACAAGCTAAATTAATTCTTGTTTCAGCTAATACACCACAAATTAGGTTTGTTGATTTTGATTCTTATGAAATTTGACCGTTGCTTTTTTTGCTTATTAAATAGAAAAAGTGAAATCGAATATTATGCTATGTTAGCTAAAACTGGTGTACATCATTATGGTGGAAATAATATTGAACTAGGTACAGCTTGTGGTAAATACTTCCGCGTTGGTATTCTTGCTATAACTGATCCAGGTGACTCCGATATCATCCGAACAGTACCAGGCGAACAATCGACTGCTATTGCAACATCATAAGCATAGTTATGTTATGGTTTTCTTAAACTTGTTTTTTGTCATTGCAAGATTTCTATCGGTTGTTTTTGTTAACAAGAATTATGAAAAAGAAGAACAATAAGAAAACATCATGAATAAAAAAATAACAAATATATATGTATACAGACGTCTTCGACTAAATTGTAACGATTAAATTGTATATACACCGTTGTAGATGGACATCAAATATTAATCTATGAGTTTTCTACATCGATTTTCGAGTTACATAAAACTTTAAGTTAAACATTACGGATTTTTAATTCGATTCAAAAAAAACTTCATGTGGTGATTCTTTTATATCATCAATTCGTAGTAGAAGTTTACAAGAACTTAGGCTTGGGAATACGCGTGACGGGCATATATGTAATCGCATTGTGATATTTGTAGATTTTTTTCTCTCACTATTAAGAGAAAAATAAGATTATACTGAATAGACAAACCTTTACTCTACAATAAAAGTCGCACGAATCAAAGGCAATCAAAAATGACCTGTTTATCAGTACGAAAACCAACCGACACATGCAGCATAGGAAAAAGTAGTGTCACTCAATTTTAATCGGTACGAAAAATTCCCTGATTATAACTTCCAACTCGAACGAAGACATAAAATGAAAGCATAATTAAGAAATTAGTTAAACAAAGTTCTACCAAAAATTATTTTGACAATTGTTGACTTTTATATTTTGAAAAAAAAGTAATAAGGTACACTATGTGACTATCTTATTCACTAATGCCCTCGATGTTTAAAAAGAATGTCTATATCTTTAAACGAGAAAAAAAATTTGAAAATGCATAACCTCCCTATAGTGGACACTTTTGAAAAGTCCGAAGGCTATCCACTATAGAGAGGGTTTACTGTAAATATTTTTCCTATCCAAACTTTGACAACATAGAATGCATCTTTGGGTCCTTTGGTATAAAGTTCTTTGAACATCGCAAATGAATCAGTGGTTTGATTCATTTTGATACGCTATAGACAAAACATTACTGATAAGCTACGTAAACAGTGCCCTATTCCTAACTCGATTCACTTACGTCCGGTTTCATATTAGTGTCAGCTTCTTGACTGACGTGAACTAGATAATGTCTCTATAATGAAAAATATTCTTCCGTTTAAATAAAAGATTGAGTTGTATTATTTATTTTTTTGATTCAAGATATCCAGCAAATTTTACAAGTTTCAATCAATCTGTATTCATAAAATTTGGTATTGACATAAAATCTATGGATGCTGATGAAGGCCAAAATGGTTTAAAATCACTCATTTTTTTTATCATAGCTCATGATGTTCTTATACTTGATCGTAATATACAAACAATTCTTATCCTCTATTGCCTTGGTTTCTGAACTTTAGTTAACATCTTTGAGTAAGAATTACAATCGCTTTTCAATTATGTTCTCTTTTTATTATAATACATTCGTAAAAATTTGAGAATTTGAATAACATAAAGTATTCAATCTAGTATTACATAATAACTAAGTTTGTTACCAAGATGCAACTTTCGAGTATTAATATTCTGTCCTTCGAATATCTCATGGTAAGTCACAACATATCATTCGATGCAGAATTGAACGGGCTACCAAGCATTATAAATGTTTTTATTGGCAATCGATTCTTCTCATAGAGATAAGATCAAAATACTCAAAAACAGAGAAAATTTTGTACCATGAAAAATCGCTATTTTTCGACTTTTTTGATTTTAAACTGACGTCACAGAGAAATGTCATATATATAGTTTGGTAATTACTAAAGTCAATAGTCACACGAAGAGAGAACAAAACGAAATATGCAGAATAAAAGGTACGCATCTAAAGGTTGCTTCATCCAGTTTTGTGTACATCGGCTTAATAAAAGTAATATATAGCAATAGATTTCAAAATTCATTTGTTTTTAATAAAAAAAGACTTCTGCCTGTTGTTCTGATTTTTCTATGTATGCCACTGCAACAGATGTTGATTGTAATCTTGGAAAAAACAATGTTAAAAATAGAACATTGAGGCATCCGCTTAAATGTTGTTTTTCTCGTATGCTAAAGTGCAATGTCATTTTCCAAATGAAAAAAACATCAAGCTCTTTCGATCAATGTCACTTCATAAAAATCATGTTTACGAAAAGTCAATTTTGTTACTCAAGATTAATTGTAAGGTGCTGTTGTAGATTCCTCAAAAAAGAACGACTATCTTGACAAAATAATTTATTCGAGAAAAATGAAAGAGCAGCATGAATTGTACAAGGATAAAGCAACTTAAGAACGATCAAGCAAATAGATAAAAGAAACTTCTAAATTGTTCAATATTATTCGCATAGACGATAAGCCACCGATTGTGTACTACATAGCGGTTCATTTATTTCAAATATATATATGCAATACGTAATAGTAACTCATTTGTATCTGTCGATATTACTGTCTAAAATAGAATAATATAAAATTTACAATAACAAAAGCGATAAGCATTCTCTTACTCGAAGGACTCCTAAATGTCCAAGTACAACATTCATCAATTCATGTGCATACATTTCTTCCTGTTGTCAGTTTTTTACACATTGTTGTATCAGTTGAACGATGACTGTATGCATTGCTAACATCATTGTTAGGGATGCAACGGTGACGGTGATTCACCGCTATATCGTCACCGGTTCACCGATCCACTACGATAACCGGTATTCCACGAAGCAAAGAGTTTCTTGAGAAAATAACGTTGTTTTATATACAACAGCCTGCTCTATGGTTGCAACGGTGGGCTCGAAAGTGCACCCAAAGCTTGCTCGCAAATCAAAAAAATACTACACAATGCTGAGAAACCCATTACAGATTCGGATTTCCCGACCCCGATTTACTTTCAGGGTCATATGAAAACAAAATATTTTATTCAAAACAACTATTTCTTTTCCCGTTATCCATGACGGGGACCAGGGGTGAAAATCTGACCGAAAACAAAAGTTATACAAATAATTAACCCTAATTCACTCTCCCCCGATGACTCCCCGGGGAGTCCCCACAAAATAACGAAATCCCTGGGGATTCTTCTAGGGAGAGTTGACTAGGGGTGTACTCACTTTTTGAGTACACAAAAAAAAAGAAGAATTAAACGAATTCTTGAAAGTAATTTGATGATTAATGTTGCGTTCTTTTCCTTAAAAATTTTTATGGAATGGTGGCAACTGTTGATTCTATTTAGAAAATTGTAATGTTTTATTTATTAGTCATAAAAATTTATTTCCGCAGTTTTCCGTTACCTGGACACTTAAGAGGTTTGTTTCCAAAATATTATTTATACTTGATTAACAAACATTTTACTTTGAACTACTGTATTGAATTCTTTTATCTTTTATTTTACAAAACTGGAAAACTTATTCGAGAATAACAAATTTTTCTAGTATTGTTGCTAATGATGTTGTTAACATTAGCAGCAGCATTGTATCGAATTTCATAATTTACTGATAACGAAAACCAGGTTCATTAATAGTAACTTTTACCGAATGATATAATCGTCTTACACGTATTTTATCAAAATCTGATTTCGTTTTATTGAGAAAGAAAAATAGAAGTGTTACAAATGCAGCTAAACTCTAACTATTAGATATAACCTTTCTATGGTTCTAAGACGAGTACATCTTATTTAGTTAGGTGTCGAATTTCAATAGAACATGAATATTTTTCAAATTATCAAAAAATCGAAACTTTAAAGTCAAAATAGTATAGTCGTCATTTGATAATTGGGAGAAAAAAATCAAATATTAATAAGAAAACTAAAATAAAAACTAATGATTATTCTCTCCAAAAAGAAGATGTTTTGGAAAATTTCCCCGGCGTGCATTTACATACTCGAGACACGTTAGTTGTTACTTATTAGAGAAAATTGTTTTTTTTCCACAAGCGACCGTAGTTACCTTTGTCCTAAGGCAATATGTTAAATACTATCTATTGATTTGTTATTGTTTATATTATTTTATTTTATTTTATTTTATTTATTTTCATTCAAATGAATCTAGCATTGCATTGAAACAAAAAACACTTATTCATGAAAAATTCACTTCGAAATTAGTACTCTCTATGCTTTGTTATTTCTAATAAAAATATAAATACTAAAACTATGCATCTTATCAGTACAGAATAGATATCCTATAATATATACAAGTACTACTTTAGTTGTTAATAGTATGAAGTAAACGTAGAACTTAAGTTTTATTGCATATGTTTTATGTACAACTTCTACGCTCGAATACAATAGAACAGAATACATTTAATTGTAACCGAATCATAAAACCAAATAGAATAGCACAATTTTAATTGAATTGGTCAGTACGTATGACATATGAATTTTAAATAGAATATTCTTTAATAAGACACCTTAGAAGGTGTACAATAGAATCAATAGATTTTGTCCTACAAGTCTAATATTAAATTACATGAAACGGCGACAATTGCATTGATTTTGTTTTATTGTTTCTTTTTCATATAAAGACCGATCTTTTTTCATAACGAGACAAGATATTCTCAATTTAGCGAGTTTATTGCTCTATAAAATTTCGAATTAACCAATATTCATTTGTATACAATGATATGGTAAGTAGAGAAATGTTTTATCCGAGTTTTTATTGATGCAACAAGATTGCTTCTGCCTTAGTCAATATAAATCTCATTCTAAAGGTCATGCCGAAGTGACTTTTTTTATCCTTGAACTTTGTTCTGTAAAGTTTCCTTCGACTGATTGAGTCGAATAAATTTGATTCATACAAACAAAGAGAAAAAATTCAATTGGCTCGAATTATAGATTTCCTAGCGACTCCATCGTTAGCTCATGATATTGAGGACAATGCTAGTTAGATAACAAGTCGCCTGCTGTTTTCTGTTTTGTCATAATAGAAAAATAAAAGAACAAAATTTCGGCTATATAGCAGAGCTGTTTCATTTATATAGTTGACAAACTTCGAACGCTTGATGAATGCACTGCCACTTTTGGTTGACATTATTTCGCTTTGTGTTTTTTCTTTCTCTTTTCTTGGAAGGAAAAATGTGTTCTTTATTCTTCTATTCAAATATTTGATTTGAGCCATTGAATAGAAAAAATACTTTAAATGAAGAACACAATTTCATAGACGACAAGGAATTTGATCTTCTAAATTAACACATATTCGTCGTAGATAACATTTTTTCCCTCAACTCATTACCTGTGAATTTACTCGTCAATACATGCACACATTCTTGTCCTTCGTCATACACCAACATAAACAGTACAATTAGAATGAAAAAATCGGCTGTACGCCTTGATCTTTGTAGGCTATTTTTCATCATTCCAGCACGTTTTCTCTCATTTTTATCCCATCATGATCAGATAAAGAATAACATCATCCGATCGAAATATGTATCTATTAAAATCCAGAAAGAAATATCAACATAAATTATTTCAACGTCAATCCTTATTTTTTCGTTTCCAATCGTAAGATTTACTTTTCTTTTTTTGTTTTATAAATATACGTATATTAAATGTTTTATTTATATTTCTACTAGTAAACGTCGTCTAAAGTCTGATTTTGGATTTCATGAAATTCGAACTAAACAAATTCATTCAAGATCATTTTTTAGCAAAGTTCATCGAGCATATCGTTCAATATGTGTAAGTGTTACGCTGATTGTTCGTCTTTTTATTTTTATTGATCGTTTAATACAAAAATTGATAATATTCATTGAAAAAATCATTCGCATTATTCAAGTTGTTCACGGATGGATACAAATGGTCAGATCAATATGTTCAGCTATTCATTTGATTGTCTCACGTTTAATGATACTTATATTTAAAATTTACCAAATAGTTCATTTATTATCGATTTTATTCGAACCATTTTCAAATGGAACTTTCCAAAATATCGTACGATCGTTTTCACACTTTATTTATGACTATTATTCATCAAATGGAGCTTGTTATACATTGAAAGCTCGTACAAATAATTTTATTGGTACAGTACGAGCAAAATGGAAAAGAAGTTCAACTATTGTCATTGATGATGATATTTATTATGATGCTCTTAATGAAGAAAACAAATGATTTTCTTTTACATTACAAATCTCTATTTTTTTGTAAAATGAATTTCTTTTCTACATATATTTTATTGTTATTTTGCTTTCTGTAAGTTTGATGATCAAGAGACATAGTCATGATTCAGTTGTTTTCATTCTATAAATAATTTTGTTTATGGAAAAATTTCTTTATGAAGTCTGAATAGAGATATTAGAATCTCAACATTTTTAATCATAATAATAAATTCTAGTAAAATAATCTTTATTGAATTTTTACTACTGATCTAATCGATTGATACTTTGAAATAAAATTTAAAAAAATGCTGCTTTTTTAAGTCGATTATCTCGGATGAAAAATAATGTAGACAAAAGAAACTCACATAATACAATAGTAAATTGTTAAAGCTCAAAGAAGTAAAGTTTCAAGTTAAGAAATGTGACTATTAGACATAACACCGGTTCGTTTTGAAACCTGCGTCAAATGATCGATTCTTTTGATTCAAGAAATAAAAGGAGATGACTATTATATTTAGGAAAGATTAAAAATAACGGAGTCTGTCATGCATTGGAAACTCGTATCGCTGAATACTTCGATTGTGAATTATCATCAATCTGTTGAAATCGGAATCCGATTTATCTCCAGGATCTACTATAAAATGAGAAAACGCAAACATTAAAGAACTCTTCGTGTTACTCGTTTATAATTTAAGTTTATTTTAATTATAATGGTTTAGTTCAGAGAGGATATCTGTACTATGGAGAATTTTGAGGTCCGCCGATTTGCTACTAGACCGGTACTTATATTTCTCTTCTTATCTGATAGAAAATGTAACGTGAAACCGTTGTAATGTTTGGCTACATCACATCTATGAAACAATCCCATAAGTCGTCAGTTCAGTATTGTTGTTGATTTCAGATCTGCTCTAAATCTCATTTAATCTATTAGCCGACAATTTGAATCAGCAATAATCTTCTTTGATATTAGTTTTATTTACGTTCTACCACTGTTCACATTTTATTATGAAAAGAATCCATAGAAAAATACACATTTCAATTGGCTCTTTTGGTACTAATGGGTCTGATGAATCAGCCTTCGAGTATAAGGCGATTTGTATTTTTATTCATGTGTATTCTATTGATGTGAAGTGCTTGTGCAATAAACTATAATGACGATATGGTAGTATTGAGAAAGTTGGCGGATTGATTCTTTAAGTAATTCCTTCATTTTTGGTTAATCCTATACCAATGCGTGGTTGTATAATATCCTAGAGGAATCATTTTCTGACATTTATCCTCATTTGCAATGTGCAAAAGCATTCGAAAATAATTGATTTATCGAAAATTAACCTTCCGACTGAAAAAGAAAGTGCCTTACGTTATTGGATTTGACTCAGAAATACGACTTCCCTTTTCATTCAAAACAATGTATCACGTGCGCCTGTTCGTTGCTTATACGAACAAACGATTATTTCGCCGAAAAACAATAGTTGTATTTCTATTTCTAGCACAAACATCAATCGAAAACACTAACAGGTCTGTATGGCATTGATCCAAAGCATCTGTGTTTTATAAGCATTAAAATAAAGTTGGCAGTTGTTACCAAGAAACTGAAACAAAGACATGGCAATTGTTTAGAGAGCATTAATCGGTTCTTTGATAAGAAAGCAATTGCTGAATTCAATCAACGACTCAAAACTGATCGGTCAAAAATAAAAGAAAGATATTGAACTGGCAATTTCATATAAATAAAAATGTTTTGAATAGATGACAAATAGGTCGGGTGAGATCAAGCCTTTTTATTTTCGACCTACGAAAAACAATGCCTACGTTTATTTACATCACATCTGTAGAACACTCGGGAATGTCAGTTTTTCGTTTAATCGAATTAGACACTTGAAATGTGTTTTAAAACCATCTTTCTGTTATTTTGTTTGAAGAATACTCACTGAGAACTATGGGATATTAAAATATTATCTCGAATTTCAGTTTTGTGCACCTATATTGAAACCAAATCGATACACATATATATATATATATGGTTTCATTTTATCATAATCAATCTATTTTTAAAACTTATATAAAAATAGTTATAACTATCAACACGTTATCAATAGTACACTGAAGTACTTTTTGCTTTAGAAGTCTGTTCAACATCAGTTAGCTTTTTATTCACCCAGTTTTTTTTAAAATTTCGCTCTATTTGTTCATGACATCCTATCTTTTTTATGGTTTTTAGTACAGTTTCTTCGGACGCTTACGAGAGAGAAAAATAACGATAACATATAGAGAACAAAAAACAAACAAACTGGAGAGGCAGTGATGACGAATCCACGTGTATTGAATTGTTTTTTTCTTTCTTGACTATTCTTCCATTATCGAATATCTTTGAAACCCAAACACCAAAACACCGTGCCAGGGGAAGAAATCAAACCTTCTGCTATCTGACTAAATCAGACGCATAGAACCACTTCGCCATCCCTGGCATTCACCCAGTTGCTAGGATCTCGACCGAGGGCGAATAGGAGAATCTCAAAAACCTCGATTTAACCTTTCATTCAGCGTATGTAAATGATTTCTAAATTAACACAAGTTATGAAGCAATATAAATACTAGTTGCTATCGTTTCTTCGTAGCTATAAACTACATACTATAGTACTGTCTTATAATTTGCACTGGTATTTTTTCCCCTCATGTATTGTTCAATAGACTGGCAACAATGAAATTAGAATCGTTTGTATTCGCGTTTAAAATTTCAATTCCATGTAAACAATATACTAACGGCAGATGAAAGTGCTTAGCTAGTTTTTATATCGATCTGTTTTATCTACAAGGTGTGTGCAATTGTAACAATTAGACCATTCATCAAACTCTCTCACGTATAAACTGTCAAATAAGATAAATTACATTAGAAGCATGAAAAATCATAGCCTTGATAGATGATCGTATTAGATTACAAATTCGAAGACGCTGAAAACAATAACAAAAGCAAAAGAAAGGAACAAATCTAGTGATGCATGTCAAAACAAAAAGTATTGATATCCTATTTATCTCATCTTCATGTTTTTTACGTTGATAGTTAAAGCAAGGTACACTTTACGTATTCTCGCTAACCATCACTAATCAATTCATATTTGTATTGACTTTTTATATAATAAAAAATATTTAATAAAATGTTGCTGTTATTCTGAGTTTTCGATAGTGTAATCTATGGAATATTAACCCAATGAATAACTATTTTTCCTAGCTTGAAAATTTTAATTAATCATTGTATTTCTATAAATGCATTTTTTTATGCAACCATTTGTGATTGAGCTTGAATTCGTTTCAAATTGAATCACTCTGTTATTTCTTATTAATAAATCAGTAATTGTATGAATAATTACATGTGCTTAAAAATAGTTTTTCTCTTACTCATGTTACTATTGAATAAATCATTCTTACCTTTCATCGATGGCGATGAAAGAATCGTTAAAAAATGTCCATTGAAGTCTTTACAAACAAAAATATGTGCAAAAATGAGTCACTATCATGTGCAACACGCCTACTTTCTTCATCTTTCTGTGTTAAACATGTGAGTTAAATCATTGCCTCAGAGCTGTAAAAATTGTTTCTTATCATTTATATCACAAAACACTCATTCGTTTCGTGTACATATACATATTTAACGGTATGCAGAATCGAAAAAGGCAACAAACTTCATATTACCAAACAGAGTAGACAAAACAAGTTATTTATCGAGTCTCTCGTTGGCATTTGTTAAGTATCCGCTTTCTTCATATAATACCGAGTGCATCTTTGTTGACGAAAATAGAATGAGACTGAAATATGGTGATTAGTTAATTTAAGAATGAATCACTCAGTGTTTTATCCAAGATTTTGATGTATGGCGGATCTCTGCTTCAGAGAACGGGATCCAGACTAATCTAAAATCCTGGATTAAACATTAGCATCAGTCAGAAAATATGTCTGAAAAAGAAACGAGGAGTAAGGCTAGATAAAGGGTTACATGATTCAAGAGGTAAATAGTATTAGCGCTACAATAAAGAAAGAGATACTGCGTTCTAATTTCAGTTGTCAAATGTATCTGCCTCTCTCGCTTCTGATGATAAGAGCTAGGGGTGTCAATTTACAGTTTATTTAATTTAAATTTAACTTCGTGAAAAGTTAATTTAATTTTAAATTAAATTCTATCAAGTTAAATTTAAAATAAATTAAAATTTTTCTGATGCAAAAAATTTAAATTTAAATAAAATTTAAATTTTCAGAATTTAAATTTAATTTAAATCAAATTTTTGAAAATTTATTTCTCGATTTAATAAATTATTTTAAATTCAAATTTTAAATTTAACAAATTGTTTGGATGGNTTAGAAGACAAGAAACATGCTCAAATTTGACTTTAAATAGTAGCAATCAAGTCAAAAACTATTTTTATCTGCTAGTTTTCAAAATTAAACTAATTTGAATTTCAAACAATTTAATTTAAATTTCTTGAATTTAAATTTATTTTAAAGTTAAATTTGACACCCCTAATAAGAGCTTACTTTAAATCCCATCTTGACAGATTTAGGAAGGTAGAGGTCGGTTTTTTGTTCATCTACAAACAATATTAATGAAGAATTCATATTTTGAATATTAAAATTTTTCCTGATCGCATGATCTTATTTGAGTCTATTGATCGATCACTAACAAAGATTCTCTTTCTTCAATTGAAAGTTTAAGAACAAAATCGACCATACAACGAATTATCGCAGCATGCTAAAATTCTGCTGTGTAATTTAGTATCGGTAGTATGCCTTCAAATGGAGCTAGTCTACAATGGAAATGAGGACAGCATATTATTGACTATGAGTGCAGTCAAAGTCATTGGAAATAAGTTTAAATGCTTTATTTAACATTAAGCCGGCAGAATTCTTGACAGATCAAAACAAAGATGAGACATTTCACCACTGCTCGTAAACATTTGATGAAAATAGTATTTTCTTTTCCACATCGGATATCCTTTATCGATGACAACAAAGTAAATATCATTGCTAGTTTATATACGTTACTTTTATCGAATTCACGTGTTTTGTTTCTATCAGCAAAGATAACATCCATCGAATAATATTAAGGTTGTATTTGCTCTTATTTTTACATTTCAAATATTTTTATTCGAACCTTTGCACTTCTATTACATTTTTATACTTAAACTTTTCGTGAAGATTTTTCAACGAATCTATGTTCTTTTTTTGTTTTCTTTCTTGATCGATCAATATTCATTAACTCTTGGTTTGATAGATCATGCGGCAAATATACAATCCACCGGCGGTGGCATCTCGACAACCACCGGTTTCAAATACTTTACTAAATTCTTCTATGTCACCCTCAAGAAACAGTATCTTACCTCCTCGATCATCCTATCGTCCAGACTCGTTTGGTCGTTATTTAAATCAACAAGCTTTTGTAAAGCCTATTCGAGGACGTGCCTTATTCAGTCGTTCCATTCATCGTATAATTGAACAAATTCGAGATAAAAAACAACGCATGAAAAATGATCAACAAGTATTTTCGACATACGAAGAAGCTATAAGCATTTTTAGTGATCTAACATTTATGAAATGTGTTGTGTTAAAGAAGAAATTATTAGATTCAAATAGTCGAACATGGACTATTGAATTTGCACGTGAAGGAGGTCTACATGCATTACTTTCTTATCTTGAACAAACTTCAAACAGAGGTTTAACACTTGTCGATGCTATACTTATTAATGAAACATTGCAATGTCTTCGTGCCATGATGAATATAGGTGAATTATTTCAACATATGGCGTCAAACCTACAATATATTGATTCAGTAGCAAAAGGTAAAAACCAATTTTAAACATTTTCGATTAGGAAAAGTGCTTCTTTTTTTCTTGTAGTTTTAAGAATTCCATCAGTCGAAATTCGCATGCGTGTATTTGAATTATTAACTGCATTATGTGTTTATTCAAATGATGGGTATCAATTAGTTCTTCACGCATTACAAGATTTTCAGGTAAATATATAATTGAAAATTCCTAATGTATTTGAAATAAGTAGGAAAATTAAAACAAAAAATTTAGCTACAACAAGAATCGAAAAAGGTATATTGAGTGTGTTTGCTCAATTTGTTTTGTTGTGTGAAGGCTGATCGAACTAGTTGTGTGATCTACTATTTTGCTTTATTTTTTTCTTCTTCTTAAGACGCGTGATAAATTACCAAATGTATTTGCGGTTATTCTTGAACAAATTAAATCCGCTGCTATGTCTAAACATAAATGGTCAGCTATTGCTCTACTCAATAGCATTTTATCATCTACAGAAGCTATTGAAAGACGACTTTCTTATAGAAATATACTTATTTGTGAGTATAGACATCGTTGATTTTATATCGTTCAAAATTATCAAGAAATTTTTCTAGCCGATGGAATAATATCAACTTTAGAGAAAGCTCGAGATGATAATGATGTTGATCTTAATGTTCAAATTGATACATTTTTTGAAGATCAAAAAGACGATCAAGAAGAATTTTTAGAAAATTTCAACTCAAATGATAATCAATCTATTACTCAAGCTATTCAATTACAAGTTTGTTATTGAAAAAACAAAATCTTATTCGTAAAATGACCTGAATCTATTTCCTGCTTTTAGTTTACCCCTAATTCACATGAGTCAGCTATTTTTCTCACAACAATGCAGCTTCTATATTCTACTTTAACATCAGCGACATCCGATGAACGGTATCCAATGAATAAATTCTAAAAGCTTTCTTTTTTTCTATCTGATTGCCTTCTAGAGAAAAAATTCTTCAAAGTCTTCTTCAATCAATTTCCAATGCAACAAAAAATACCCCCGAGAAAAAACTAATCGAACAAGGATCACAAACAGATACAATGCCCGAGCTCGATACTAAAGTTTCCTCTACTTATCACAAAATTCCTAACGTTCCAATATCGACTACAGCCATTATAAATGAACAATACTGTCAAAAGCCAAGTGGTATTCAATCGCCTTCCATATTAATCAGCACATCAAAATTGATCAACACTCAACTTCCTTCGAGTGAATCCTCTGTTTCTGTAACGGTTCCGACTTCGTCATTCCCTGCAGACTTACAAGCAACAACTTCAGTTATAACTCTACCACCCCATCCTCCTCCACCGCCACCACCACCACCAAACTTTCTAGGCGGAGCACCGCCTCCTCCACCACCACCACCACCAAACTTTCTAGGCGGAGGACCACCTCCTCCTCCTCCTCCACCACCGCCAGGCTTTTTAGGAATGGCATCACCTCCACCACTCGGACAGTTGGCTGGTAACTCATCTATTACTGGTCTGTCTGTTTTAGTTGATAGTATTCCTAAGCCTAAAGGCAAATTGAGACGGTTACAGTGGAAAAAGCTAGCACACACTATTCTTAGTATGTATCATTACTTATTTATTTCTTCCACGATCAAGTTTCTTTTCTCTTGCTTTTCATTCCAGCTAGTAGTAGTTTTTGGATGGATGTGAATACAAAAGTTGATAGTCATATTAATTTCTCGCAACTTGAAGATTTTTTTAAAGCCAGCAGTGAAAATAGTAATACACCAGTGACAACCAAGGCAAAAACAACAACTGTAAGCTAGAACTTTGCTTTTGGACTAATATTCTTTACATATTTTCATAGATTTTATCTTGTAATCGATCAATTGCTATAAATGTCTTCTTAAAAAAATTCAGTTTTACTGATATTCCATCATTTGTGAAAGTTCTTCAAGATTCAACATCAAATCTTAATAGCGAATGTCTTCGTATGTTGCTAAAAATTTTACCAGCTGATGATGAAGTAAATTTGTGAAAAAGAATATTCTTCTTCATCGTTTGTTTTTGTATTTAAAAAACAAAAGATTATCCTTGTTCATGATCATCCACGAGAAGTTTGGGCAATACCTGAAGAATTCATCCATGAAGTTGGCTTAATTTCATTTTATGATTTCCGTGTTCGAACGCGTATTCTTATTACTGAATTTGATGAAACATTCAATGATTTTAAACGAAAATATGAAAAAATAATTCAAATAATCGATTTTCTACAACATGATATATCTATTAAACAATTAGCTCGATCACTACTATCCATTGGAGATTTTCTTAATTACGTAAGTAGTTATTGGCTAATATTCTATAGGATTTTTTTTTGATTTAAATTTAACTAGGGTTCCTATGCTGGTAATGCCTTTGGCTTCCGACTAGATGTTTTCAATCAACTGCAAGATATTCGTTCTAGTGACAATAAAAACTTGCTTAGTGTTATGCTCGAAAGTTCACCTGAACATTTTAAATTTATTGACACTCTTAAACCAATGCTTGCTGATGATATACAGTAAGAGACAACAACATTAGACGAAGAAGAAAAAAGAACTCTGAGTGCATTCAAAACTAAATATTTATTTTTCTAGATTGAAATTAGTAAAATTAGATTATGCGGATTGGAAAAAAAAGATTGATGAAGGTCTTAAACAAATAAATTCGATTGAAGATAAACAAATCATTGAACAATACAAACCTTTTTATGAAGTATGGAAAAGAAAACTATTTTTATTTTTATTTTTCTTTCTTTCTGTTTAACTAGCAATCAAATAGAAAATTAGAAACTAGTCTAAATCCTTTGGTAAATCAATGTGAAACAAAAGAAAAATTTTTAATGAAAGAACTCGGTGAAACAGATTTAAGTGAATTTAATTATGATTCATGTTGTACTGTCTTTCGACAATTAATCGAAAAAGTTGAAAAAGAAAATAAAGTAAAACTGAGAAAAAATAAAAATTTTAAAGAACTTTATTTTTGATTATTTTAGGAACGAGAGAAACGTTTAGTATCGAACAAAATATTAGCAAATTCAGTTAAATTATCTACAAAAAAACTAACTGTAACAGATAACAATATGAATAAAGCAGCAGATGATAATTTTATGGATTCGCTGATGACAGAACTTAAACAAAAGAAATTCACAACGGTACCCGCTAGACGACGTCGAGCATGTCTTGATCTTTTGAATACTAGTGATCGCGAATACAAATAGAGACTTCAATGATTCTTTTGTTCTTTTTTTTTTGTAATAAATTGCAGTAATTTTTTTTTAGATATTCTTATCAATAGATGAATTCATTTCATTTCAACCATTAATAAATGGATATTTGATACAAGTGTTCTGTATGTGTGCACTTTTCTATTGATCAGCATCAATGTTCGGGAAAACAATAGTTTCTTTACTTTGTTCTGTCGCGTTCACGTACCCCGTTGGGTACATGTATCCACTTGAGTTATGTTTGCATTTCTACTCGTCTTCATCTCGCGTTCTCTTTCTCTAATGTATTGTATACGAACGATATTATTATTGTTTTAACGATATTCATGAAGCAGAAAACGAAAAAACGCATAGCTATCACTTAACTATATATTCACAATCACGAATAATATACTAGTTTAAAAAAAACTTGATTATCGAATGAAAACATCAATTTATTTTGTTCTTCATTTAAATATTGTTTCGTTCTTCCTTTTATGTTTTCCGGAGAGCTAATTCTGTCATCATGATTGTCGATTAAGGACAAGACATGTATGTGTGTATACATAAAATGAAATTGCTAACATTTACTCAAATACAAATCATGAAGACGAAAGGGAGGGAGGGAGAGAGAGAGAGAGAATGACAGAGCATACAACACGAACGAACGTCTCGTATTTGTAATAATGATGAATCCACATTCGTCTATAAGCGAAAAAGTGAAAGAGAGAGCTGAAGAGGAAAAGGCGAAAAAGAGCACGAATGAAATATAAAAGCAAATAGTCTTTCTACTTAGCTTTTGTGTATGTGGAAGGAGGAGCAAGGAAAAAAGAAAACACCTTGATAGTATTCGCTCTGGGTAAATAGGCACGTCCGTCAGCAACTATTTCGTCGTCAATTTCACGTTCTCTCTTATTTCGGTTTTTTTCTCGCCAACGCACAGCCGTTTGTTGGTAGAGTGATGATGGCTAAAAGTGTTTCACCGTAACATTTCTCTTTACTCTTCGTATTTATGTGTGTGTGTTCTTACTCTTCTTTTTCGCTCGCCAACAAAGTAAAGTGAAAGAACGAGAAAACGAATGTGTAGTGTAGTGTTCCGTCTTTGAGATTCCTTTTCTTCTCTTCGCTTCTCAGCACACACATTCACAAGCATTTTTCACTCATACACAATAAAAAGAGAGAGATGAAGTATATACGTATGCATGTGTATATATATATGTAGAATAGAGGACATCAACGAATGGTAGATTGGCTCAGACTTCGGACATAGACGTTTCTTTTCATTCACCTGTTTTTTTTTCTTCGTAAGTATAGGATAAGTCGGTTACCTTTCTCATGAATGAAACTTTTTCTTACTTATCAGTATATAATCGTTATCTTATCAATATCAATTATGATTTCAAAAACGACTTATTCTGCTTTTGAGTTTGACGTTTACGAGAATTAACTAAAAATAATTTTCCGTTGTTATCGATTATTTTCTAAAGTAATTTTTAATGGAAATTCTAAAATAAATTATTCTATTTTTCAATTTTTTCTTCTTTTTCTTATTGGAAATACTGAAATACCATGAAAGGCTTCATAATTGAGAATTTAATCGAAATTCTAATGAGGAAAAAAAAACATATTTGCTTATTAACTTGTATATTTCTTTTCAATAGGTAACTCTCAAACGTCTTAGCTTTGTCCTGTCACATCAACGTCCATTAAAATTTCATTCTCGGATTCTTTATTTTTCTTTTCTTATGTTACCCTAACAGATCAAACAATATACGTTGTCGTTCTCTTTCTTCTACTGTATTTTCTTTGAGCAAGCATAAGTATTATATTTGCATGTATTCAAATGCGAAGAGCACGTCTAGAGAGAAAGAGAATGATGAATCTAGATATAGTAAAAGTATATTGAAGCCTATCGTCCATTCGGCGACGACCACCACCAACACCATCATCATACGAAAATTCGTCTTGTGTTCTTTCGCTCATTTTAATGTTCGCTCGATGTTGAATGAAATAGAGACGAGAGAAAGGTGTACATATATATATATTTAAAAGAGAGAAAGGCAAAGGAGGAAAAAAAGAGGTAAGAACATATATATATATATATATATATACATCAGGGAACAAACGGGTATGAAGCGGGAAAAACGAACCTTACTACTACAACGAATGTCTCTTGTCCGTTCAACGAAGGTATACAAAGTAAATACAAAAGAAGAAAGAAAAGAACGCGATGCAATGAAAATTTCAATAGAAGTGCGTTCGTCTTTATGTAGACATATACATTTATATATATATATATATATATAGACGAGAAAAAAAGGGAACAGAACGAATGCTCGAGAGTTAAAGTCACCCTCAGCTACGCTATCTCTCTTTTCTTTTTTTGGCCTACACATACACCGAAATGCGAAAGAGCATTTCGACGTTGGCAAGTTGATCAAAAAAGGGCAACAACGATTTCTTTCTTCTTTTTTCATGTTATTCAAAGAGATTTCTCATTGGAAAATCTTATCGGCATTAAACTGTTTGTGTCTGTCTGTGCGCGCGTCAGATTTTTTTTTGTTTTGCAAATGGAAAACAGCTGTTTCATATTTTAGAAGTTAAAAAAGAAAATCAATTATGAATTCGTTGGATATACAACAGCAATTAGCCGACCAACGGCGTGGCCGATACGTACGTGTTAGTGATGTTGATCGTCGATTATTAATTGATACATATAAAAAAGGAGAAGACTTTATTGCACTTGCAAAAAAACTTAATATCAAACGATCAACCGGTAAGAAAGGAGGAGAAAAACAAGAAGAACTGTATTTATACTCTTTCCTTTTTTTTATGGTTCCATATTTTCTCGATAGATATATTTAAGTTACTCTTAACATTTAAGACTATTGCTAAAAGTTACATTAAAGTCTTTCTGAGAATAAATTTTTAAAAATGCTTTTTTGTTTTTGAAGACCGACAATAGAAATTTCCCCTTTAATTTGAGGTGGGAGAAAAACGACAAGAATCGAACATGTATATTTTTTTATTTTAGCTCGAAGTATTCTTCGAACATTTATTGATGAGGGTCGTGTATCAGCAAAACAACGTGCTGGTACACGTCTTCGTTTTATAACAGAAGATGAAGCTGAAATGATTCGAGAAATGAAACGCCGCCATCCATTAATAACTATTGGTCAAATACAAATGCGTTTGCAACGCACATCAAATCGTGTATTAAGTAAAGCATCGATATCACGTATATTAACAAATAGTATACGCTTGGGTAAACGTGCTAAACGTTCAGTTGATGGTGAAGACGATCCAGATGGAATGAATGAAACAATGCCTAATGGTAATGATGAATTTATGCAATTATCATCTGATGAAAATACAGGCGGAGCAATATTTATCGATGATACAAACGACGATGAAGATGATGATGATGGAATGATGGATAATACTTCATCATTAAATAATCTTGATGATTTTCAACGTTTTATGCTACGTAAAACAAGTGTAAACGGTGATGATTCAATGGTCAATGAGAATTTAGAACAATGTGATGATAATGGTTATGCTATAACATATCCACAATTGGGCAGTGAAGAAGATGAAGATGAAGTAAAGAAAAACAAAAATTTTAATTCAATTAAAAGAAAAACTAAAATTTTCGATTTTTAGTTATCCGATGAAAATGAAATACCAACGCCAGTTGATCTTCGATCTGAAATCGCATCGACACCATCTGCAGTGAATGGTATGTATATATTATATTTAAAAATAAATCACCAATGAGTTTTCCGAAAAAAAAAAGAAAAAACGAAAAATTCCTTTCTATTAACAAAAGGTAATGGGCCAATATTAAATGAAAATGGTTGTTGGAATTTAAGTACAAATGCTGTTAAATCTGAACCTGTCTGTGTATTTGTTAATCGAAATTATGATGAAAATTCTTCTGACAGTGAACATCTACAAGAACAACCATTAACAATTGATGAAGAACCAACTAAAACTCCAAATACTAATGCATCAGCGTAAAGTTTCTCTTGTACGAAAAGAAAATTTCTATCGAAAATCTTTTTTTGTTTTGTTTAGAATCTCGAATTCGCAATCAACCGCTTTTCGACGTGGAAAAAGTTGTCCAATATGTGGAGAAAAAAATTTCTCTCGTCTCTCTCATCATCTTACTGTTTCGCATAACCTTCAACGACATGAAATGTTAACGTTACTTGCTTACACTGATCAAAACAACAACAACAACAACAATACTAATAATCATCATCATCATCATCCATCAATAGCCAGTGTTAGTGGCAGTTCACCAACAAATACACCATCTATTGCGCTCGATAAAAGTCCACAACAAACACCGATTAGTATTAATACAAATAATCAACAAATAACATGTCCATCATCGCCATCAAATGAATCAGATAATCATAAAATCAATCAATCATCATCGTTGACAACAACAACAACAACACTCACAACGACAAGCTCGTCACCTATTGATAATCAATCGTCAAACTATCTACCTGTAGATGGTAAAAAACGTTTATTATGTCCACGTTGTGATACATGGGTCTTGAATTTAACAGATCATTTAATAAAAAAACATCATTTAATATCGAAACAAGAACGTTTACCATTTTTACGTTTGGCACGTAATCGTTATGCAACACCATCATCAACACCAAATCCAATTGCAAATGGAAATGATGAAAAACTCGCAACTAATTCATTTCTTATTAGTCCAGATCATTCATCTCCGAATACAAATCAAACAAATGAACAACAATCACAATCTCAACAGCAATCAAATCTTCTTCAACAAGCAGCCAATAGAAAATATCAAAATATTGTGAAAAAATATCGTAAACGATTGTTTGCAACAATGCAACCGCCAACATCAAATCATTCAGCAACATCATCATTATCAAATTGTAATACACCAAATAATTCAATTGAAAAATCGACTTCACTTTCTTCATATGATCATTCATTGGTTCAATCCAATCTTACATTACCATTACAAGAACAAACATCAGCAACAGCAGCAGCAGCAGCAGCAGCAGCTGGAAATCATAATCTTTTGACCATGAACAGTATTCAATCGTTATTAAATAATAATTCAAATAATCAGTGTAAACAAGAAAAATTCAAATTTTCATCACTCAATGATAATTTTTCAACACGTACTTTTTCGGCAATTAAAACATCTGGTAACAATAATAATGCTAAAGATCAACAACAGGTAAATTGAAATATTATTTACCAAAGTTTCTTACTTAACCTTTGTTTTATCTGCTTATTGTTAACTGAAAAAGCACGTCCATATTTTTCAACCAAACAATTAATGTTAGGAGGAAATTCATTCAACTAGAGATGAGTACAGGATCAAATTTTTATGGTTCCGGTCTAGAGAAAGCTGTCCTAGAATTCATTCCTATTCTATCAAAAAACAAAAAAAAGACTCGCAAATATTTATTTCTTTACTTATTGAGTTGATGATGAGCCTTCGGCATTTTTTGTTGTTGAGATCATGTCTCTTGAAATACATTTTGAGTCATACGATCTCATTTAAAAACAAGCCTTGATTGTCCCTTGAGAAATTTTGTTTTTCCTTATAAGTCAAGCTTTGTTTCGGTAATATCTATCTCGAGCGGATAAATTGCTTTTGTATTAAGACTATGTGCAATTGTGAAGACCCAAATAAGCTGTGAATACATTAAAAACATTTCGTGCTCTTAGGGTATAGCTGCGGAGGTAGTGTACTTTTATGGTATTTTTTAAATGAATGTCGCGGCCTCTCTCTCTCTCTATGTCTCTTAGAAAGATCAGAAAAGCGATTTTTCAAATTTCAACCTGAAGTCTTTTATGCAATGAAACCTTAATAAGATTAGTTTGTTGTCTAAGTTGTAGGTCTTTTACTTTTTTTCTTTTCTAACAAGCACACATAAAATCTTTCGATCTCATATATGAAATCTAAAAGATACGCTCTTGTCTCTGGTGAAATCGAAATTTAGAGATTCTGTTTGGTTTTTTCGGAGAAAAGAACTACAGTTAGGAAGCTTAACTCCTATAAGAATTCTCAAGCTTCATTCTAGAAGGATTTTCCAAACAACAAAATTAGTATAGATGAATATTATACGAATATAAAACTTGAACTTAAATATCAATCAGAAAACAATGAAACCGTGTTCGTTCAAGATCATAGAAATAGAAATCGTGACATACTATAGTTGTCCCTGAGGCCCTATTTTGATCTTTTGTCTGACTCTATGTTCGATTCCAAATGATAGCACGCTGGAGTATAAATTCAAAGGGTAATCTAAACTTTCGCATGACTATAGTTTTATTATGAAATCACATAGCAATTTGAAGTTCATATTTGAATGTCATTTTTACAGTTAATCCTATGTTAGTATGGATTCGATTTTGAGTTTGAGTACAATGTTGACATTTATTTTTTATCTGATAGCCTTAACTCATCTTTTTGTATTTTTTGTGTCCTTTTTCTCTAGTTGTCAACTCATCAAAAATTTGAACAACGTTTAACGGTATTTCGTCAACAATTTGCTGTCACATTAGCCATGCAAAATTCTCTCATGCAACAAATGGAATTATTACAAAGAAGTTTTGTCTGCATTGAAGACGAATGGAATGATATGAGAAAGCAAATTATTTCATAAAAAAAAATAGGTGTATTGATATACATATTCTTTTTTTTTCTCGGATCAGATATTACATTTTTTTTTCTGTTGATATGAAAAAAAATTAGCATATGTTTTTGTTTTTGTTTTCTTCCAAGAAGCTGATGAAAAAAAATGGCGTGCTAAAAATAATTGTTTTTGTTTTGTACATAGATTTTTTTCAAGAGAAACAAATCATTTTTTGTTTGAGCAGTAGTTTGTTTTGTGTTTTTTTTTTGGTGCTTGAACATTCCTTATAGCTGTTATCTGTTACTTCATCTTCTGATAAATTCCAGAACGCATATCTGTAATGAATGACAGTGTGTCTGTATGTATCAATTTTTTTTCTTTTTTTTTTGAAAGATTCTATCAGTAACATCACATTCTTTGTGTTCTGCTTGTTTTTTGTTTTTGATTTTGCTGTTTTCTTTTTAGTCCGTTTTCTTATTCATTTGATTGAAAAAAAGAGATGTGTGAATTATAGATCTATCGATTTTCTCTCAAAAATATAGCAACAATCGCTGATTATAATTATTCAATTTGTAGCTATGTGTGTATGAAATTCTTCTTTTTAATAATATTTATCTGTCGTTTTCAAAGGCATTTCTGATGCTTTGTTTCTTCTTCTTTGTTTTCTCTTCGCGTTTTACAATCTTTTTTCCTTTAAAATATTGAATAATAATAGAAAGAAAAACATTTAAAATGATCACTCATGCTTTTTATTTATTATGATTGACCGATAACAATAGCTGCTGCAAAAAATATTCTAGTGAGAATGTGTGATTAAATAGAGTGATACATTTCAAAGAAGTGTTTATTTCGGATGTCAATATTCACACTAGTTCAACAAATTTTATTTAATAGAAATTTATCTGGTTGATTTATTTCTCTTTGATTCGGTGATAATTGTCATAGATCTGTGTATGAATGAGAATTCAGACTTTTCATTTTCGAATAATACCTCATGCAATCATATATACCGTGAATTTGTTAAAAATTCACTGTTTACATAGGTCTTGGTACTGTCTAGGTCAGACTATCAACTGTATAAAAATGTATAATTGCCTTGCTGAAGCTGAGGTGCGCTTTTTTTTCTAGCTAATCATAAGTCTCTTATGTTGAATATGCGAGAATTCTTCATTTACCAATGATAGTGCGCATTAAATATGGTCAACAACAAAGATTCTTCGAGAAATTTTTAGGACTAAAACAGCTGTTATATACTGTGCAATCTAATTTCATCTAAGCAATATATAAATAATTGCTATCTTTCATTTTTTTTTATCTTGGCGACCCTACCAACGAATATTGAGAGAATATTAGTGATCGGTATCTTAGATAATTTTTCCAAGAAGCTATAGTTGAATAAAAATTTGTCGAGTGAATATTTTGAATTCGTATTACAGCAGCTACATTGATCCGAATTTTTAAGGTTAATTATATACAATACATTTGATTATATAAAAATGTTTCATTCTTAATCTCATTAATAGATTTATATGCAATGTAGCTAATGCTAAATATTTACATTCAGGCTTGACTCAAATCTATTTTTTTCACATCGATATTATGTACAAATCATCATAGTAAATGAAATAAACGAATATTTTCTTTATACAATCAATGATTCTATGGATAAGTTAGTAAAAAAAAGACGAATCTAGATTCTATTTAATCAACACTTCAGTATCTACGTGAGAAGTGGTAATAGATGAATATTTTCTTCGAAAAATTTAATAATTGTGAAAATAGATCTAATAACGAAAAAGCTTTTTGCCAGCATCATTAAAGAATTCTTGTTTTTTTTTATTATAAAATATTGACATGTTATATTAAAAAGAAAATATCCCATAGACAGAAAAAGTAAATAAGCTTTCATTTGATCCAAGTAAAAATCAGCATCACACGCGAAATTAATATAGTTAATGTTAAAAAGAAATCTTTTAAAAAAAAATTCTATCTAAATTTCTACTCTGCTTACGTAGATGTCGAATAAATAATTCGCTAGACATTTAAAAAGGAACAAGAATGAGTTAAATTACAAAAGAAACAAAGAAGTAGATGATGTTGCTTTGCAAGAATGATTATTAATCAACGCAAAAAATTGAACACGATGATTCCAACCTTCGCTTACATATACGTTTCCTTGGCTGTCAAATGCCAAATCAGTTGGACGATAAAATTGATTACTTTCACTACCTTGTCCTATGATAGAAAAACGTTCGAACCAAACTTTATATTATTCACTATTAGCTTTAGCTCAATGAAAACAGCTCATATTTCAATAGTTTTTTTTAACCAATACTTCCAATAGAATCAGTTGAAATAAAACAATCTCTACATATCATTACCACCGGCAATAGTGTCACCTTCGTTTTCACCATGTTTCCATCGTTGAGTTTGATGGTTTAATAGATCAACTACATAAAAAATTTTAGTTTCTTCATCAACACGTAAACCATAGGGGCTATCTAATGATTTAGCATCCGACCCTGGATCACCATCACTCGATCCAGCTACACTCACATCTTCTTCAGCATCTTTTGGCCATTTTTGTACTCGGTGATTTATTAGATCAGTCATATAAACGGTCTGTGTAGTTAAATCTGCACAGATACCTTGAGGCTCATTAAGATGATCTGCTCGTGGTCCTTTCTGACCTGTTTCACCAGCTACTATTGAAGTCAAATTAGTTTTAGACGATCATTTTAGAATACGATATCGGTCATGTTCTGACATATAAATATTTTTTTTCTTTATCTAACTATACTCCCGTGCAACCTAGACACGGATCACCAATCTGAATACCGCTTTTGGTATTTTTAACCCATTTTCGCACCCGATTAGCACCATTCATTGCTATGCAAGTAGTCGGAAAATCATTATCATCATCATTATCAACATAGATTTTTTAACCATGTGACAATTGAGAAAATAAAGTAGTACCTGTTGTAGTTGATCGATCAAGTGGAAATATTTTAATACGATTATTAAACGTATCCGATACATACAATCGTTTTGTTTTATCACGAATGAAAATGTTTTGAGGAAAAGAAAGTTGTCGAGCACTATTGCCAGGGACGCCTGTACCGGCAATGGTTACACCAGTTGTATTCCATATTGCACAAGGGCTAATTTTAATTGGTACTGATGAAGACACACAACACCAAAGTACCACTTAAATGGACAGACGTTTCAAAGAAGGTTACTTTTAACTTTGACTTGCCAACGGCAGTCAATAAAGTATGCATCTTTGGTAATGAGTAGATGGAAAACAAAATGGATAATACAAACTTGTACGATAAAATGACGAACGAAAAAGATAAGTTATCAAACAAAGTGCAGTTCTAAATATTACATGTAAAATTTATTATCGAATACGTATGACACGAGTTCTGTTTCATAATGCTTCTCTTTTTGGCAAATAAATAGTCATCAACTTTTACTTCATGACCATGACTGAAGCTCGAATTAACAGTTCATTGATGCTACGTAGAATTTTTACTAGAGATCTATCAATGTGTGATGAAAATCTAGTCAGTAGCAATAGAACAATAATGAATTGACCATGCCAATGAAAACATACAAAACTAGATGTAACGATCTAGGAAATGAATTGATAGCTCGAGAAGCATAACATATTATGCCCTAGAGTGTCATGTAATTGATAGTGTTGACTTCATGATTGAAACATTGATTCGCAGCGTACTCTATGAGGGGAGAAAAAAATCAATTTGTTTGTTGTCCTGAGTGACATTGTTATAATGGCAAACATCAATTTAAAAAAATTCAGATAAGAAAAGTTGTTTTACATTACACTTCAAAACACAATCATGGGAACAACAAAAAATGATATGGAGCGTGTTGGCCTGTTCAAGGAAATGGAATATGTTAGCATTAAAGATCCATATAAAGAATCTGCTAAATGTAAGTGATTATTTACGTGATCTTGAGCATATTTATATTAAATTTGATGGGTTTCTTTTTTTAAGTCGCTTTTAATGAAGCCGCAAACAAGAATAAACAAATGATGAGTAAAAGCTCGAAAGAACGATCGACAGGATCTATGGCTGGATATTTTGATAAAGATTATAAAATTTTACCCGCTTCATATGTCGATCCTGTATCATTACGACGTAAAGCTCGTCTTGAAGAAAAGAAGAAAAATATTGTTACAAAACCATTTGTTAGCATGTATCGAGCCAGAAGTCCGTACGTGAAATAATTAAATAAAATAGATATTTTCAGATACTGAACATGAGACATGCAAAAAGACGGCACTAACTCAGGCTGATCTTATATGAATCAATTGCGAATATAATCATTAGTCCTGGTAGTTCAAACTATGCAGTAGTTGCAATAGCCGATCATACAAATTTTATTTTAAATCTCTTTTTTCCTCCCCTTAATGGTAATCAGTATGAACAATTCTATTGGTGATTTTGCATTGAATGAATGTTTTCCGGTATCAATTTCAGGAAGATAATATTTCTAAATTCGAGATAAGCGTCTTTATGAGAGTATTTTGGTCATGAAATCGATCTTGGAAAACATTCTATTGGTTCAAATCATTTGTTTTACGAATGCTTTATGTTAAGTTCAGTAACGGAAAAAAATTGAAATGAAATATTTTATGATCCATATGCGTTGATGTTACAGTCAAGTCAGTTATTGTCGTTATTGCATTCTCATTTTCAAACTGCAATGTTTCGATTTAAAAAAAAAGACTTTATTTCTTATTTATTTCAGAGAAGGATTAGGTTCATTTTTTGGAACGATAGGTGGCCCTGTAAAGGATACGGACCCAACAAAATCTAAATATCGTGAGAAAACGAAACCACCATCTGAAAAATCAAACTTCAAAGTTAATCCACCCAAAAAAGGAACCGGCTTTGGGTATGTTATTTTAAAATCTTATTGAATACCATTGAGTTTCTTCTTGTTTTTTGTTTTAGTTATCCAAACTTAGGTATTGATAAAGATCCTCCATATATATACAAAGATAAAGTAGATAAATATGATTCACCAATAGAAGCTCAACAAGTAGAATCGAAATTTTCCAATATAATTTCTTAAGCATCTCTTTGATTATTAGAAAGAAAGTGCGCAACATAAGGCATCATTGAAAGCCGGTGTATTTAAATTGAATATGCATCCGAAAGACTTTTTTGATCGTAATCCATTTCACGAAGAGGGTAAAGGTGGAAAAGGTGGTAACGGAGATAAAGAACGTTCGCAATCGGCACCAAGCGATAACAAAGTATTTAAATATAGTTCACCTGGCAAATGGGTTCGTTGAAAACTACTTGTTAAAAAACAAAAAACACATTTCAATTTTATTCTTTAGCTTGGTGGAAATAAAGATGGTTGTTTCGATAAATTTCCTAAACGTAGCGAAAAAGATCCATTCGTCATTGGAACAATCTATTCTCCAGTTAAAAATGTAGTTAATAAACAAGGAAAAACCTATTATCCAAATAGATTTCCTAAAACACGTCCAAATGATTCAATCATAAGTAAAAATGTTACTCTACAAATTACTCGAGAAAATTACAAACAAGCGTTAACAAGTTATTCCGGATTTAAAGTGCCACCACCCCGATTGAATGCTTCCGCTAATTAGAAAGTGCATACATTTCCGAGTGTCTTTTTTTAAAAATTTTTCTGCACGGTTTCTTTTAATAATTTTTTTACATACATACAAATGTCAAATATATGTGCTGAAGCTGTTATCACTCTTTAAGAAGAAAAAAGTAGTCGGATGAAATCTTCAGCGCATGTTTTTTCGAGAACACACCCAGACTCACACCTTCATGAAAAAATTCGTTTTGTCTTTTTTCCCCCCGGATATTATGTAGGAAGATGAAACTATTGCAAATAATTTCTTTAAAATACGAAGAAATTTACGGAAAAAAGTCACCGAGTTTTATACAATTTGATCGAATAAATGCTCTGCATCAAGATGTGAGACGATTATCACCGAAATAGTTGGTTTTAAATGATAAATGTTGAATACTTTTATTTGAATTTCGTTTTAAAATCAAAACTGATTTTTTTTTCTCATGAAATTAAATGTAAAGATAATGAATTTTAAGATAATTTTGCTTTGTAAAATAGCAGACAAACAATGCGATTTGGAGTCTTTTCTTTCAACTGCTCCTGTTGTCGAGTAATTAAGATTACTTCAATACATCATTCTCATTCTGACAGCAACATTATTTTTCAGTAAACAATTTGTTATTTCAAACAGATTTTATTGATTCATATTTTCTACAATTATCAAGTTTTAAAATTATCCAGAAACTACGTATTTGTTTTTGCTTATTTACAACTTCCTATTTCAATACTATTCGCATAGATAAAATTATACTCATAGTTGAACTTTTTCTTTTTTTTCTATTCTAATCGGATTCGAACTAAAGATAATCTAGTTTATATAATCATACTGAATGTATGCTTACGTTGGTTGTATGACATCATGACGCAACTATCTATTATTCATAAATGCATGAAACATAATACTCTATCACGTCAGATGAAAAACGAACTGCTTGAGTCTTTGTTTAAAGGCCGTATTTTGTCTCTGTACAGATTTATTTTTAGTACAGCTTTCTATTCGAAAAAATTCACCAATAGAGAACAAATTGAAAATTATTCTAGAGAACATCATGCTTCATGTGATACTCACCTGAAAACACTTTCGTTTACATTTGCTATATTTAACTTATTGAAACATAGAAGCAACAAAACTATAAAATATCATGTGAAATTAGCTCACATACATTAATGTTCTTTTTTTTTATTCTAATAAATATATGAATGCATAGGTTTTTAGCCTTTTAAACAAGAATTAAAGAAAACTACATGAACATCTATTTTCGATCAGCATTATGAAGTTTTTGCTGTTGTAAAACTACTTCAATATCCTATAAGAAAACTGCAAATAGTTATCATTATATAGAACGCAAAAATCTTACTTTATGAAGAATTTCTTTTAAATCTTTATAAGCAACATCAAGTTTATCATTTAATACAATATGATCATAAACACCTGGTTCTTTACTGAATTCCATTGATTCTTTTGATTCTTGTAAACGCTTTTGAATAGCACTTTCACTATCTGTTTTACGCGCACGTAAACGTTGCTCGAGAATTTCATAACTTGGTGGACTTATATAGATGAATAATGGATGAAGATCTGTTTTTCGAATACTTTTAACACCTTGTTTGTCAACATCAAGTACACATATACGACCTGTTTTTGCCACATCTTCAACAGCGTTTTTACTAAACAAAAAACAAAAATAAGGAAAATTTATTTCAGCAGCGATGAAAATTTTCAGCTCTTATCTATATTTTTTAGAAATATTGATAAAAGAAAACTGATCAATAAATAGGATGAAGAAAGAAATACCACTTTGAAATATTCTGAAGACTTTCTCATACTAACCTTGTACCATAGAGATTCGAGGAGAATTCTGTTATTTCAAGAAATTCACGCTGTGCAATCATTTTTTCCATTTGATGTCGGGGTACAAAATAATATTCTATTCATCAAATAGAAAGACTACGAAATAGAACAACAAATAAAACAATGTATTGGCTACCGCGAGCATTTTGTTCGCCAGGTCGAGCTGTTCGTGTAGTATCTAAATAGCAGCGAGTAAATATTTACTAAAGATCGATTATAGGCATACGGGAAACACTGAAAGCAAATGCTGTTGGATATTCTTTGAATAGTTGATTGATTAGTGTACTTTTACCAGACCTAAGAAAAAGATTTTTTTCGACTAATAAATAATAAATATTAAATTAGAATTTTACCCGCTGGGTCCTGATACGACAATAGGACGAGGTCTGAATGCAGCTAACTTAGCAAAAGTTCGAATCCATATTCTAAATAGAAAAAAAACGATAATATTAATGGCAACATTGAAGTTATTTTACCGGAAATAATTATTCATGACAGCAAAATTCTTAGGGTGATTTTTTAAATTAATTTCAAAGGTAAATTGTAAGAATGTTCTTTCTTTTTGCCAAAAAACCTAAGCAACTTGTTTCATAGACGGTTTTATGTGTCTTTGATCATGAACCGAAAGAGGACTCTACATTCTGTGAAAGATGGATATTGAGTCTAGCGGCGCTCTGATTGTTTTTGCTATTCTTTGCGCGTGTACACATTGAGAAGAACGAATAAATATTGCGAGCTGTCAATCTTTATAGATGTAGTTCTCTTGGCAACTTAAGATAATTTAACTGATTAAATGGTGATAAATAATTTCTGTAAGAGAATGTGTTTGCATTTGTTTTGCCTGCGAAAGAAAATATCCCTTTAATTAAGAGTTCTATTGATGAACCTATCGACTGGACAACTAGAAAAATGTTCACTACGAATTTCGAATACAAAATATCCAATGGACGTATGTGATGTTTATTTATTATTGCCATGAAATGCTTTTCTTGACAAAAATCCTATTGCTTCTTGAATTGCACTCACTAGATGTTTGAAAATATCCATATGAATATTTCATCTAGCAGGAATGTAGGAATCTCACTTCGCTTGATGTCTCTCGCTCTTCGATACTAAGAAGATTCTTAAGCTAATCTTCAAAATCAATGTTTGAAATTATTAAACAAGCTCTACAAAAATTCATATCACAAGTATAACGGAAATATAACTCTGAATAATTTCTACTGAAGCAACGAAAATAAGTATTAACAAAACTAAGCATCAAATTATCATTTATCATAACCACACATCTTATAACTAAAATTATCTTCATTTAAATATCGACTTGTAACTTGAAATTATTTTCTAAATTATTGAGCGTTCGTTGATTTAATACGAATTTTCAACTTGCAGATTGTAGTCCTTCGTCGTATAATAATCGTGATCTTGAATTGAGTCAACTGCGATCTACTGTAAGTAACATCTTCGAGAAGAAATTTTTCATATTTAGCTTTCCTCAGATTAATAATGAATACTATGAATTATGATAATGTAATCAAATCAATGAATATATTCAAAAAATTAAATATAAATTAATCCATAATCTTCAAGAGTTATTTCGAGGTATATTTCCATGCGAGTGAAACTGATATTAGCATTTTGTTTTTCTATTAATATTCTCATTCGTATACAGATGCCGGTTTGTACATCCTCGGATCAACAGTAAATGGATTTGGACACTGTCATAGTGAACTTGATATTTGTTTAATGATATCACATGATAAAGTAATTCGAATTCAGATTTCAATGTTTTTTCTCTCTCGATATCTTGTATTAGTTAACTGAATTCGAGTCAAGTTATATCCTACAGAAATTTCGTGATATTTTTCAGTATGTACGTACAATTCTAATTTATTATCAGTTTTCATTGTTCTATTTTTAATTAAGAATACTTTCGAAATGTAAAGTTAGTTAAATAAATGATGCATCCAATACGTAAATTTCTCGATGCTTCCACAGATCTATTAAATGCAATAAATATCAAAACGAAACTGTTACTATTCGAAATACATTTCTAATGAGATTTTATTCAGAATGTGATCATCGATTACCAATACTTATGAATACTGTTAGATTAGTTTGAAAAATTATTTGTGTAATAAAATCTTATATGTAGATATTCATAAATTGAATTTATCTAATACGATTGATCTACCAAAAATATGGGTTTGAAAAAATGTGACTCTTGAAGTAGAAGATTTATTTATTGGTTTTCTAAAATTTTATGCTATTGAATTTGAGTAAATTTAATACATTTGTTAGCAAGATACTGGGATGGAAAACAATTTCTTTTAATTGAATTTAGTTTTCCAAATAATATGATCATTATACGAACTGGAAGAAAAATGAATAAAAGGAGAATCAATAAATGAAATCGATTACATCAATCGATATCTTGTCATTGAAGGTAAGATTGAATCTTAAAGTTTCGAAATGAGAGACCGATATCCATCGTATACGTAAATAAAAATTCACGCATCAATAACTGTAATTATTTAGTAAGAAGCTCGAAATATGTTTATTACCATACATTCACCAATCGGTTCCATACTAATCGACTTTTTAAATAACTGCTTGTTGTAATGATGTTCGACTTCAATAATATTGATAAAATTTCACAAAGTTCCCCTAATAAGAATCGTTGCATATTACCAAGAGATGAATACGAAACTCATGAGTCATGACAATTCCTATGTTCTTCAGTAGTCAAGATACGAAATCTATCGCGAAATTTTAGAAATACTTCGTAATGCTTCCAACAAAATATCATCAACACGTCGTCTTAGTTCTGTAGAAACTAAATAATAATTTAGTTTTTGTTTTTATTCGTTTCTTTATACAATAAACAAACCGAGAGACGAACAATCAGATGAAACAGTACACAAAACAAAGCAAAAAACAAGACGAGATTATAAATAATTACTAACCAGAGCATCCACGACATCCACAATGAACGCATTCAACAACTTTGCCTTCTTCTAATTTTCCTTTTGGTACACGACAGATACATTTTTTATTGAAATTTGTATCACGTGGTTGAATGCATTGAAGACAACAAAGATTTTCATAGCCTTGTTTTTTCCATTGTGCTAAAGGAGAAAAAAATACACAGTAAAAACATTCTTCTATATATTAAATCAGTATTTTACCAATTAAATTTTTATCACCAAGTGATTGTTTTAAACAATAATCATATAATTCTTTACTTATTGTCTTACGTTTATAGTAAAGATCATAGATAAAACGTGATTTTTGATGATGAATTTTAAATATAGGCCATAATGTTTCAACTTTACGTTTACCTTCATGTGGTGCTAATTCAGCTTCACGCATCTTTGCTTCTATTTCATCTAATGTTGGTTCAATTAAATCCCTAAAGATTCGATTTTCAACAAATGCGTTACTATATCACAATAAAAACTTACCATCCATCTGGTGGTGGTTTTGAAGTTTTTCGTACTTTAACCATTATGCAGATAATCTACAAGATAATTGTATAATTATAACTCTGTTTTAATTATCAAATTTTCTGTTCTTTTTGATACTCTCGAAAGAAAAAAACGATTCTACTCCGTTCCTGGCAAGCAATACAATTGAGATATGAAGAACAAAAAACACACGCACACACACACACACACATATACAGAGAAAAAGGGATAGCGTAGTAATCAAAATTATTGTCAAAAGAATTGATTTTGTTAATTCCGTTGTCGGCGTTTAGCTCTTAGCATAGGACGTGAACCGTTCGCTGCATCATCTCTGGTAATATCGAAAGGACTAAACAGAAAAGTACAAAAACAAATGTATTACTAAGAAAGTCGAATGAGATTATTTACTTTGTGCCACTTGGAGAAGAATTAGATTGGTCTACTGGTGAAAATTGATTATTGATAATTGGTGCTGATGTTGTTCTAGTAAAATTAAAGCCACCCTGTGATAATGCAGACGGAGCAACACCAAATGTTGATAATCCTGATGAAGCTTGAGGTACAAATATAAATCCACTAGTAGAAGCGGCTGGTTCTATTGAATTCTGAGTAGGATTTACAATTGTATTTGATTGGGATGCAAAACTGAATGCGAATGGTGCATTATTTGTTGACGGCAATAACGAAAATGAATTCGAAGGTGTACCAGCTGATATTGAACCCATGTTAAATAAAGAATTCGTACCAAATGTTGGACCAACATTTGAACTAGCAGATGATGAAAAGAAATTTGAAGAACTATGAGTTGTAATTCCAGATGATGGACTGCTTTGCATTGTTGTGGAAGCAGGTACAACATTAATGGCAGCGGTACCGAATTGAAATGGAGCTGGTGTTGTTTGAGATAAGGATGCAAAACTATTCGATGTGGGAAAACTAGTTACTGTTGACATTGGAGACGATGTTGTATTTATGAGCGGTGCTGTTGCCATTGAAGAACCAGATATAGTTGGGTTTATTGCTAACGATGAAGTTGAAGTATTGGCTTGCATTGTAAATGGAGCCGTTGTTGCTATATTAGAAGCATTGCCAAATGTTCGAAAATATTCAGATGATGAAGAAGATAGTATTGGCGACATTGGTACACTTTCTGTCATTGTAACAGTGAAAGGAGCAGTAGAAGTTGTAACTATTGTGGCAGTACTTGTTGACGGGACTGATGAAAAGAGTAGGGATGGCGTACCAAATCGAAACTGATTGCTTGTACTATCATTCAGTGACTTATCTAATTTTGTTGTAGTATTTAATATAGGTGTAGTACTGGCTGTGAAAGAACTTTCTTGAGCAGTTGTTGGTGGTGTACCCATGAAAGATATCGTAGTAGTAGTAGGCACAGAATTTTCTTTAGTTACTGTTATTGGTGATACTATGGGCGTGCTACCAAATAGAGGAAGTACTTGAGTTGAAATCGACGAAGTTGTACCAGAAACTGACGTAGTAGTGGTTACTGGATTCTCTTTAGTTGTAACTGGTTGTATACTGAATAGTGAAACAGTAGTGATTATTGGATTTTCTTTAGTTGTTGGGAATAATTGGATTGGAGTGGGATTGAATGATGGTGAAGCAGTATGGGTAGTAAACATCGATGGAAGTGATAAGCTATTTTCTTTTGTTGTTGCTGTTTGATTGCTAATAGCAGTTATAGGTGTAGATATACTAGGTTCTTCAGTAGTAGCATCAGACAATTTTTTGGATGATACTGATTCTTTTTCTACTGTTATTGTTGATGCAAGTGCTAAATTAAAAGAAAATTTCATGTAATAATCCTTATAGAATCAAAATATAACACATGATTTAGTTTTATACTATCCAATTATTTTGGTAAGTATCTACTCGGTGTTTCATTTAATTCTTCGAAAAATGCAAATAATAGTTTATAGATTTAAATAAGACCTCTCATCTCATATTAACAATGTCTATCATAGCCCATGGAGGTATACATTTGTAAAATGTATATTTTCATGATCCTTTAAAATGTTGTGCCATTAGTTTCTATTGAATTCGATCGAAAGCATTGACTTACCACTTAATTTTTTATAACTTGGATTAATACCATGACAAAGTGAACACGATGCTGTGTGTGCTGGATGTTCTTTGGTACACGAAGGACATTTCCATATTGACTGGATAGAAGATGATGATGATGGTGGTGGTGGTGTAAAAGTTATTGTGGGTATCTTTGGCATTAGATTAGTAATTGTACTTGTTGTTTGAACTAGTATTGAATTATTAATAAGATTTGATTTATCATTCGTAGAAGTATTAATTGATTTAGAAGGTACTAAAAAAAATAAGAATAATTAAAATGGGCAAATTTATAAAATGAAACGATATACCTATATTAGTACATTTTTCTGGATACTTTTTGGCATATTCTTCTTGAGCTCGAGCAAATTTTGGCCATGACAATGGTGTAACATCACCGAGTACCTTTAAATTGCAAAATTAAATTTTTTTTCTCTGTTGCTTTTGTTTTCTATTTGTTTCTTACTTTAGGTTTAGTAATATGGATCGTTGGTATTGACACTTGCGGTTCTTCAATTGGTGGTTCAGTTTGAGTAGATGGTTGAGTTGTATCCTTATTTGGTACTGATAATGCTTCATATTGAATATCTGCTGGAGGAAAGATGCGTTGATTTTTTTTAATGTCGACGTTTGAAATCTGCACAATGAAATCATTTGTTTAGTTTGTTTTAAAAGATAAATAACTCACGTCACATTGAATACCACATTCTTTTTCTTGTACTTTTTTTAGTTTTAATTCTGGCGACGTAGATTTTGGTTGATGTTCCTCAATTGTCGATACAGATAATCTAAAGAGATTAATATATAGAAGACAAAATTTCAGTTTCTTTCGAACAGTTACGGTTCATTATCGAGTGTTCGATTGAGACGTATACAATCTTGTAAGGTTCGTCGACGAAGTCTTTCAATATAAGGTAAACGATGTGAATTGATTGTTGCATAATTAACTCCTAATATTTTTCGTTCATTTGATAACTAAAATAAAGATGTAAATTAACTATAGATACAGTTTTTATTATCTTACTAATCGATTGGTATTAGTTGTAGGATTTGTTAGTGTTGCTGACGATTGTTGATTTTTTGTTGCAGATAATTGCGGTCGCTCAATTAGACCAGTTGCTAGTAAGTGGTTTGCTAAAAATTCATTTGATTGAGTATTTGATGTTGATGTTGTTGTTGTTGCTCTTGCGGTTGGTTTCTATAGAGTACAAACAATTAATTTTTGCTTTTGTCCGAAAAAGAAAATGCACGTACTCGATTGTGGTCAGAAAAAAGAGGCGATTTAGATGGATCATAATTTGATGTTGATCGCCGATATGTTAAAGAACTATTAAAACGTTGTGTTGATGATGGTAAAACTCGATTTATTGTTTCATTATAATTTTGTTCACTAGATTTTGTATGATCAAGTCGATGCTTTGATAATAATCGAATACTATCTGTTGAAACTATTTTAAAATAAGAAATCCTAGTAACGATCGATGAAAAGAAATTAGATCATACTTGGATGTGACGACATTCTTTCATCATCATGAATATTTTGATAATTGGCTGTGCGAGGTCGTTTCTTTTGTTGTTCGATATCTGTTAAATCTCGTTCAGTTGGTAGTACATCTTCAATACTATCGTCTTCTTCGTCGATTAATGATGATCCATCGTCTCGTGTAGTTCGAGCAAGATCTAAATGATGAGAGAATAATATATTAGCAATGTGTTCTATAATGAATAGTCTTAATAGAAATAGTTTCTGATATTAAGTGTATTTACGTTTTGGTGTTGTTGTTCGTAAATTTGTTATGATATTCGTTGATGTTTCTGTTTGTTGTTCATCAGCATTATTTTCAATGGAAACCGATCGTTTTCGTTTCTAAATTGATGTAGCGATAGGGAAAAAAAGATATATAAAGAATTATATTTTTGACTTACTGAGCGATCAGTGTCATTGCTAGCTGAGAATAAGAAGGATGGATGAAAAATTTTCGAAACGACATCTTTGACTTTATGCATCATACTCTAGAATTGAATCATAATTAGAAAAATCTAAAATTTATATATCGAAGCAAACCTCATTTTGACTATTAAATGATGAATCACACTGATTTGCATCATCATATTCGGATAAAGAAGTATAATTAGAATGATTATAATAATTAGCAAGAGATGACATTGTTTACAAGCACAATAAAGCAAACTGATAAGACACAACAGCCAAACAAACCGTGCAAAAATTAGCAATAAAGTTAAAATTTTTTATAGATACTTACAAATAAAGGAACAACTATTACAACAATAAGCCAACGTAATAGCTAAAAAATGAAAAACCCAATGAAACATGAGAAAATAAGTTCTTTATATTGAGAAATAATGAGTCATTCGAAACCACTAACGGTAGAATATATTTTTCATGTATTGTGAAATAAAATCCAACATAACGAGGAAATAATATAACTAAGGTGAGATACATTATGGACACCAATGAAAACGTCGTCAAAGTTTTTATTGAACTAATTAATAGACAATTACACAGAATAAATTAATATTTCGCTAATAATGAGCAAAAGAACAGGACTATTGATCTGATAATAATAGATGTCGCACATAGTATGAGAAATGATCAATGCTGAAAGTTTCATCAAGTATTCTACAGTCTGACCTTGACGACACACCAAATATGAGTAGTACTTCTGTAATTTCGAATGGGCTTAGTCGCATCAATTTGCATTCAGTAATCATTCAATATATTTAGTTATTTTCTTCATTGATTTATATCAAGATTGCATACTCACACATATTCTATTGAAATCGAAAATCAAAACAAAAGAAGTCAACACCGTTTATATATCTTTTTTCTTTACAAGAAAAAGAAGAATCATACAGTACTTTTCATTACATTAGATCTATGATAATTTAAAAGAAAATACAGAGAATAATTTATATTGATCATGAATTGACAATCAAGTTTCATAGTCACATAAACGAAAAAAAGACTGCTATCTGTTCCTTTATCAATCTCATCCATATCAACCATTCAGTTGACCTTCTGTTCAGACTTCTTCTATTGATATAATCGGATGATTTTGTAGCATCACCTTCAAATTATAACAAGATATGTTATACATTGATGTCTAAAAGCTATAAGTGATATCTCATATTATAACGGTTAATCAGACAAGACTGAAATTTAAAATTCTAGTAGACTTTCTAATGTGATTAAAAGTCAGTTGTTTTCTTCGACGATATGATACACATAACGAATGATCTATGAATTTCTGTTTTCATATATATATATATATATCTTTCACGAGCACATACATCATATCAGGTGTGAGTAGCATCGGCGACTCTACTTGATTTCACTTTTTTTTTCCAAAATGAAATTTGAGATCAAGTGCCACTACTAGCTGTCTCAATGCATCATGCCAATTTATTCTCTAATCTCTTTCAGTTTTTGTCTCTGACACACGATATGAATTAGTCATGTCATTAAAATTACCATTGAATATATTGATAATCCGCACCTTGACTGAATGGACTTTACAACTATCAAGAAAAACAGAATTAGATAGAGCACCTGCCTATTGCCTATAAAAAAGACGAAGCAAAAACATCATTTTGTTTTATCTAAACTATAGTCATGGTCTCAACAATTATTTTTTCTTTTGGTTTGATATTTTTCAGGTAAAGAATGCTTTATTTATCTTTTAGTTTATTAGACATTTAATGATTTTTCTATTTTAGCTTAACAGGTTTGCATTTTTCGAAATTACATATATTTTGTTTACAATATGTTAATTGCTAGCCCATGTGAATAGTCAAACATGCCATAATATGGGCTCATTGGATCCATGCTCATATAATCATGCATGCAAATGTTTACCTTTATCGTTTGCCGATGATGTTGGTATTTGTGCTGTGGTCGGTGCAAGCTGTTCTAGACTTAGCCCATGCAGGTTTCCATATGATACTTGTGATGCCGATCATATTTGTGTTCGCCATCAGCAATGTGGCTCAAATCCTGTTTGTTATCCATTATCAATGGCTGATCAAAGATTATGTCCATTAATGATAACAAGTAAGATAGTTTTTTTTTCACTGATTTTTAATAATTTCCAGGCTACGTTTTAGTTGACTTTCCTAATTTTATTTTTATTTTTGATACATTTCTTTCAACAATATTGAATTATGAAATCCATTGAAAACATTTTTGAAAATGACTCGCTGAAATACTATATTATGGAAAGTCAGTAGCGAATTAAACGGTCTGTTTTTTTCTTAACGTCGAAAAAATATTGCCACTGCTCTGTTCTTCATTGTCACATTTGGATCGCCATATATTTCCTTGCCAGAGACTACTATTATTGTTTTAATAAAAGTTTATTTACCAGAAGAGTTAGTCTGTTGCAACATATACATATGATATCTTCTAGATCTCAAAGTTTACCATGTTATCATATAACGTCATACACTGATCATGGTAGTGTAGTAACTTTCCAACAGTATAAGGATAAAGTCAAAACAAATCCACACTAAAAATGAATACTCGCTGTACTTATCTTCGCAAAAGAATCAACTGAATCTTAGACAATAAATCCCCATAAGAATTATATTGCTGCTTGAAGTAAAAACATGAGAAATTATATCTTCTGTCAGTTCACTTCCTACTAGCATCAGCACCTTCAAAGTGACATGAATGTGTTAATTTTCGGATTGCAATAGGCGATCTTTACAAAAAAATACTTCAGTGTGATGATATGAAAATAATTGAGGTGAGGAAAAGTTAAAATATCTGATTTTTCTATTCCCTTTCAACCAGTACATACCGTTCTTCAATTTGAAAAAGAGTTCCAAAACAAAAGCTATATCGAACCGAAGAACGGTGAACTAATTTATAAATCATACATAGACCAAGGGGGAAAAAACTGATTTCTGATACTAGAAATCACTGAAAATCACTAGAAATCACTGGAAATCACTAGAAATCAAGAATGACAAACTAAAGTTCGCGCAAGACGAACTTCAAGTGAAATTATGAATTTTCGTCTTTCACACATCATCTGCTACAGAATTTTACGGTGATCACGAATATATGTTTTTCAAGTTATTTCAAAGCTTCCTTCACTTCAAAAAATCGAAAAAACTTGTTTTTTCCACGTTTTTTGTAAAATTGAATTCGTGGACTTATGAATTTACTTAGATACTCGAAAAGGACATATTCTTGTTTAGCTTGAACAACTGAATCAGAAAATATCTTTAAAACTTGTTTTTGACCTAAACAGTTGCCCGTGAAG